AATTGTGTAGCACCATTCTGGCATGTTTTATATTTTTGACTAATTTTCTGCCTCCTTCTGCTAGAATGTAGGATTCATGAAAGCAGGGGCAATGTATATATATTTTTTCTCCCCTTATTGTTATATCTTCAGCACCTAGAACAGTGCTTGGCTCAGTAAATAGTTGTTGAATTGAATATATGAAAAGTCCTTGCATGGTTGTCTGATTACCTAAGAAAGAGTAACTCTTTTACCTTTCTTAGAGAAATGCTCACATTGTGGTGTTTTTAAATAATCAGTCGCAAGGTTAGTATTAATAGTATAGTAATAGGATTTTCATTTTTTAATTGCTTAACTGATAACAGGTTACTGGTTAACTGCAACTTAGCTTTTGTATCTCCTTGTCATAGAAGATATCTTAGGAAGAGAGTATGTGAGAGGCCTTTTTATTAATAAAAATTTTACTGTTCCACAAAAAATTTTAAGGTGTTTTTGTTTTGTTTTGCCAAAATATGATCTTATGGAAAGCTTAGAGGTTATCCAGTGATTCAATAGGATATTTTTGATTGTGGTTAGTAGAAAATTTGATTCAAAGTATCTTAAACATTAAGAAAATATACTAACTAATGTAACTGAAAGTCTAGTATTAGCTGGCTTGTCAGTTATATTCTTGGCAAGAAACAGATGGCATACTCAACCTACGTTTTTGAGAAGAGTTTAATGCAAGGGTATTTAAAAAATTGTAAACAGGGAGCTTGGCAAGATTTGAAGAGATGAGGGAAATAAGTGTTTAGTATAACCCAAAGAGAAAGTTATTGTAGCTATTAGGAGAAGGGTACCTGATGGGAGTGTGGTCTTCAAGAAAGGAGTATAGTGTAAGTGTACTGAAGGGGTAAAATCTGGAAAATATATACCCAAATTCATTTTCTTTCTGTCCTTTAATTTCTTGGTAATGTCTTCAATTAGTCAAACCCAACTAGAAACCAGTAGGCAATAGAGCATCCCAAGCATGAGAATAGGACAGGGAATGTTGGAAAGGCAGCAAAAGGTTGGAAAAGCAGCAAACGGTAAGCTGTCTTTCAGGGCTGGGTTATCTGGGTCTCAATAATGTCATCAGACACCCAGGTTTTGTCTGTGTCTCTACTGTACCAGCTACAGTGTTGATTTTATGCTAAAGCTGATACTGTTTGAGGTCACAATGCTGCCAGAGAGAATTGGTGCTGTATGCCTTCACATCCAGGTAAAGAAAGTGAGCTCCTTTCTGTCAATTACTGAGCAAGTTTCTTCTCTCCAATTTGATTGGTTAGCTTAGAGCTTGGCTGGCCTACCATTGAACCAGTTGTTGCTATGAGAATGCTAAATTTTGATACCAAGTCTCTGAGCTAATCATTGCTTGCTACCCTCCCTTATCACTCCCTACCAAAACAACAACAAATGATTAATCTGGTTGGATTAGGCTATTTGGAGCAAAACCTTGAAGTCCTGGGAGGAGCAGAATGGATAATAGACTACTTTATGATGTACCTCTACAATTACAATAGTTTTACACAATTTATTGAATATATACTCATTCACATTATATGTATATGTGTGTGTATGTATAATGGTTTCTACAATAAAAATGAACGTTTCTGATAACCTGTTCCGTTATGGGCTAATCTAAATATTGGAACAATCTCTCTTTATTAAATAAAAGTTTCTCTTTGTAACCTCCAGTGCTCCTATTTGGTTTAGTTAATTCTGGAGTGGATGCTATAATGCAGCAATTTTATAACTTCTCAGATATTATTTCTAAATATGGTTTGCCATATTACATATAGTACTTCTTAAAAATTGTGTGTTCTGCCACCACATAAAAGTAATATATGGATCAAATTCCAGAGCTTACATTTTCCATGAGATTTAAATTGTATTTCCATCTAAAAGTTACAGATTTATAACTATAAATTATCCAAGTATAGATCTCCTTTTAAAATAGCTTTACTTGAGAAAATGAATACAAATACCAAAATATAAAAATATTTTAAAACTGTTAATCAAAGGAAATACATTTAAAAGCAGAGTTAGAGATCTTCTTTCTTCTTTTCCCAGGCTGTGTTTTTTCCTTCCTATTCTGTTCTTACTCTGTTTTTGAATATGACATTAATTCAGTTAAATGTTTCCTGAGAAATTAGGATAGGGATCAGGAGGATAAAAGATGAATAAGATAATATCTTTCTTATATTAGGAAAGAGATTTTTTTTTTTTTACACTAACAATAATACAAGGAAGAAGAAATAAGTACTACTAACAGGTAAAGGTAACATGCGGTTGAAGAGAATATTCATTTATACATTTATATACTATTTACAATCCAGAATAGTAGGATTTTGAGTAGGGAAGTTAAAAGACACAATTTTAGAAAAATATTTTCTGAAGAATAATTTTAGAATGCAAATCTGCTACCCAACAGCATTAATTGGTATGCAAAAACAACAGGCTTTTTTTTTTTTTTTTTTTTTTAAAGTAATGTGGAAGGCCTTGTGTTGCTTCTAGTATATCTTTTAATATCATGGTCCAAATTCCAAACTTGTTTTTATATTATGAATTCATCAAGTGGATATGTTTATAATGGTTAGCCTGATTTTATAATACAGGTTAATGTTCTTTATAAGGACATGATGAATAGTTTTTATGAGCTACAGTCTGGTCACATAGCATGTTTAGTAACAGGATATGACTGTATTCTATTTTAGAGTTTTACGTGTAAGAGTAGAATGTATCAGATCATGTTCTTGAAATCATTACTACTGAATAAAAATAGAATGTATAAGATAAGCTATGTGAAATTGTAATTATGAAGGAGCTGGCTACAGTTTTAAGTAACTAGTGATCTCTTATTTTAATTTTATTCCCTTACAAAGTACTATATTATTTTCATTGATATTCCTTTAAATATGATTACCCGCTCTTTACTTTTTAAACTCAAATGTTTGTTTTGGTTCCCCTCCTTTATTAACTCAGCTGTTTATTTAGATCATTTCCACCATCTTTTGTAAAATTTTCATTGAAAATTATGTACTAAATTTTGATTTGAATTTCATTGAAAATTACTAAGTCTTGATTTGAATTTTGTAGGTTATTGCTTATGTAAGCACCATTGGTAATTTTGTCAGACACATTATTATATTAATGTGAGATCATTTTTAACCTTGTAATAATTTGAACCAATTAAATGCCCCCTTCTTAGTAAAACCTGTTAACCATCGTTCTACAAATATTTTATCTGCACCATAGTTTCTTCCATGAACTTAGTAACCTCTAACATGTTACATATTTTTCCTTTTTATTTTATTTTATTTACTATGTGTTCCTGCCTTATCATCTCTTAGAATATGTTCTGTGAGGCAGAGTTTTTTCAATTTTGCTAGCTGCTTTTTTGACAATGCCAGGGAGCGTACTTGACTAATAGTGAGTAATCAACATGTATATTTTCTAAATGACTAACAGTCTTGAGCTCTACCTTTAAGGTAAAGGAAATGTATGCAGAGGTGTTACAAACTGGGGGAGCAAGATGGTAAAGCAGGGGAAGCAAACGTGTCCTGTGGGTGAAATTGGCCCACAGTAATATTCTGTAGGACTCAACAAAGAGGTTTAGTTTTGGTCTTCACCACTCTTTACTGTCTCCTACTCTAGTTTACACATTGTTGTTAGCTATTTGCAATCATTTTAGTTTGTGACCTTTTATGTGGAAGTGTGAAAATTCATGATGTGCTTAAGTCAAATTTACTGAGTTGTCCTTATTATGAACATGAGAAATGTAACTAAATCATATGGGAGGTAAACTTGGTAAGACGATTTCATCCCTTTTAAACTTAGATCATCTTAAACTGATATTCAGACTTCAGTCAGTGAAGAAATGGGAGGAAAGATGTGTTGTGTGATGTGTGCTTTAGGACTCAGTGGTAGGTGATTCTTTACCCTATGATTGAAAGGATAGTGATACTACAAAATAGTATCACTAGATGAGGAAGAAAAGATTTGTGTAGGAAGATGTATTTTTTGATGTTTGAGTTTGAATTATCAGTTTTTATGAAAAGCATTTTTTAATATTATAGCATTTTTATCTGAAATTGTATTCTAGGATAGCATTGTCCAATTAAAATACAATTCAAGCCTCAGGTGCAATTTAATAATTTCTAGTGAAAAATTGCAGGTGGTATTAATTTTAATAATGTATATAGCCTAGTGTTTTGATAATATGCAAAATATTATTTGAACATCTATTCAATAAGAAAATACGATTTAAAAAAATATTCTGGGCTGGAAAAACCCAGTTTTTTTCATACTTACAACGCATCTCACTTTCAATTGCAACATTCCAGCAGCTCAACTGCCATATAGGGCTATCTGGCTACTGTATGAGATGGTTCAGCATTAAGGTTTGGTTTCAGTTTTGGAGAGTCTGTTGTTTAAATACCATTGGTAATAGGTACATGTTGATAGCCATTGAAAATTCTTGAAGCGAGTACTCAGCATAGACATAGTGTTATATGAAGCTATGAAAGCATAGTATATCTTCCAAAGATAGTGTATTTATGGGAGAAGAGAAGATCAAGGAAATAATACTTTAAGCAGTATTTTACATATTTTAAGCAGTATTTTTACATATTTTAAACACTATCACTTTTTATTTCTGTGTCTAAGATCTCTTCTTGTATGTCAATTTCTATAAAAAATAAAATGAAGACATTTACAATATTTCATTTCCTTAGCTTTATCTAATAGCATTATTTAACTTGAATTATTTATCTATAATTGTCTTAGATCGGACTTCAAATAACAAGCTATCACTCAAAGAAATAGCTAAAATTTCAGATATCTTAAAAAATTATATTTTCATAGCAAAGAAAATATAAATGTTTATGTCATATTTATTAGGGATAGCATATGAAAAATTCATGTGTGCTTATGCTAAGTCAGAAATTACACAATTTGATACTCTGGATATTTCAAGCTAGAATTTCTGTTTTCTTTCTTAGTCATCAAGAGTTCATATAACTAGAGCTGTCCTGGAGCAATTTTTATCTTTTGCAAAATACCTTGATGGTTTATCTCATGGAGCACCTTTACTGAAGCAGCTTTGTGATCACATTTTATTTAACCCAGCCATCTGGATACATACACCTGCAAAGGTATGAATTTTATACTTACTCAGTTTGTTTTAGTGCAATGTTATACATTATAGTTGCTGGATCTAAAGTGTCCAGTGGAAAACATTTAAACATTTTAGCTTATTTTATAGTTAATCTGCGGCAATTGTGTTAGGCAGTATCAGGAGATCAAAATATTTATAAGTAGTAAAATAAATGAAACTGTAGGTAAAAAATAATCTTTGTGTAACATTGCATTTTAACATCTTTAGATGTGATACATACTTTTCCAATGAAGAGAATTAGCTATACCAATTTTTGAAAGACGAAGAAAGAGAACAGAGAACTAATTGTATTATGACTGTAATCATTTTGCTGGAAAATTGCTTTCATTTTGAAGGCAGAATTTATATCATGACGTGTAAATAATACTAATTTAAAAATAAATATATACATGAAATAAGTATTTTTCCAGATAATAACAGAAAATTCTTATTATTTTATATACAAGGATTTAGTCCTAGTTGAAATCAATAATGAGGGATTTTTTGATTTTGAGCTATCTTTTACAGTTTAAAAATATCTCACCAAGTTACTAATTATTGCCTAAGCCCAAATCTGAATTTTGAGAACTCTTCTAAGCAAGATGTGTGACATTCCATCTCTATGCTCACATGGTCAGATTGTGAAAGCGAACTATATATTATGGCCATAGGTGAGGAGAATTTGAAATTGCATGAACTTTTAGGATATATGACAAAAATATATATGTTTTCAGATATGCTTTAGCTGACTGATCTTCTGTTGCTCTGAAGAAATTTATACACTGAAAGCCACTGAAATGTATTTTAAGAGCTTTAGTTGACTTTAAAAATATTTTAATCTTTTTATCAGATTAATTTCAATAAATTATTAAATCATTTTAAAATTATTTAATTGCCACAGCTATTAGGCTACCTTTATTATAATAAGTTTATTAGAATATGTTAATTGCAGATTATATATTTTTAAATATAAATAATATCGAAGAAGAAAGTTATTTTTAACCTCATAAAAAATGGTCATCTCTTGACCTTTAAATTAAAACTGAATGTATATTTATAATATAAGCACTTGAGGCATTTTAAATTCATTTTGATGATTTGTTAATATTCTGTATTAGGTTCAACTTTCCCTATACACATATTTGTCTGCTGAATTTATTGGAACTGCTACCATCTACACCACCATACGCAGAGTAGGAACAGTATTACAGCTAATGCACACCTTAAAATATTACTACTGGGTTATTAATCCTGCTGACAGTAGTGGCATTACACCTAAAGGATTAGGTATGTATAGCACTTCCTCTGTATTTACATTTGCCTGTGATTATTCTGTATTCTGAGTACTGTTACAGTGAGCAGTGTACATGACTGTGAAATCACTGAAATGTTTTCTTTCTTATGTAGCAAACTGGCATATTGAGAATGGTTTGTGGTAAAGAAGTTTAGGGCTTTTCAATATTAAATTATTTTGGAATAAAATCAGATAAAAAGCAACAGTATTATTTTAGCCTATATGCTTTTTTCATTTAGGAAAATACTTCATAATATTAAAAACAGATAAATCATATTGGTTATAACTGGTGTGTTCTAATACATCAGTTGCTTTCAACATTTTCAGATTGCTACTTTAAAAAATTTTTTTTTCCAAATTTATCCTTTGTTCTGACTATAGTGAAAACTAAATTAGTTTTTCACTTTGATTTCTTTTTTGTTTTAAAAATATAACCAGTTTTTCTAATTATACAAAAATATAGAAAATAAAATAATACAGAAGAAAAAATGTATTTATGACTCAAACCCCAAGAATAATTACTGATACGATTTTGTCATGTTTTCTTCCAGTGTTTCTCATTGCATACATAATATGAAAATATTTAAACTTTATAGATTGAGATTTTCTCAATTTTTCTATCTTGTTCTTTTCTCAGCTTAATGTAGTAATGTAAGGGGATGTACCATTTACATTGTTTCTAAAGTTTTGATTCTGTAAATATTAGAGAATTCTCTCATTTATATATGTGTTTACCTCCATCTTTGATTTGTTTAAAATTACTGAGAAAGGGGCTAATGACAAATATTTTAAATTTTTTTCAGGAATGTCATATTATTTTACAGTTTTGCCAGTAGTATGTTAGAGTACTTCCTTTTGCGTGCTTACAATAGCATTGAATATTCTAGTTTAATAATAGTCCCGTTGATAAGGAAAAATAGCACTTTCCAATTTTTTTCTTTTTTCTTTTTTTTGAGACAGAGTCTCGCTCTGTCACCCAGGCTGGAGTGCAGGGGCTAAAGTGTGTTTCCTATAAGCAGCATATATTTGGATCGTGTTTCTTTTTTTTTTTTTTTGAAACGGAGTCTTGCTCTGTCACCCAGACTGGAGTGCAGTGGCGCAGTCTCGGCTCACTGCAAGCTCCACCTCCTGAGTTCATGCCATTCTCCCGCCTCAGCCTCCTGAGTAGCTGGGACTACAGGCGCCCACCACCATGCCCTGCTAATTTTTTTTATATTTTTAGTAGAGACGGGGTTTCATCCTGTTAGCCAGGATGGTCTCGATCTCCTGACCTCGTGATCCACCGAACTCGGCCTCCCATTTTACTATTTTAATATTTATATAAGCTTACTTTTATTATGTCTTTTTATTTTATTAATGGGGCTTTAGAAGTTAATTATACTCAGATCTGTTATTTTGTCCTTTTATGGCTTCTTCCATTGCTTTTAAGTTGGTAATGCCTAAAATTTATTAGATTTTTCTGCCAAGCACTCTACATATTAATTTAATAATATATATAGTAATTATAGACATATTCATATACATACATAAGACTACATCTATATATAACTTTTTTTTGATATCATCCTCATTTTAAAGACTAGGAAACTGAAAGTCGATACAAACCCACCAGCACCAAAATTTGAATCATATCCATCTGACTCAGAGACCTAGTTCTTAAATGCTACACTATGATATTGTTTGCTCTAAACAGATCTTATATTCACACGTAATAATTTTTGCCTTATAATATTAATTTCTAATTTACAGAAAAGTTACAAAGTTGTAAGCATTGCACAAAGAATTCTTATATGTCCCTCACCAGATTCTCAGTATTTTATATCTTACCACTTTAGCCTTTACTATTCTCTCATGCTCTCTTTTTATGTATATATAAGCACACCTGCAGATACATACACATATTTTTTTCTGAATCAATTGATAATAAATTGTAGACATGATACCCTCTCACCTCTAAATATTGTGTATTTCCTGAAAGGTAAAGGCACTTTGTTAAATAACCAGAGGATACCCATTAATATCAGTAAGTTAGCATTAATATAATATTATCGTCTAATTCACAGACCCCATTCAAATTTCACTAATTACAATAATAATGTCCTTTCCAGGAAAAAAATTATTTTGCCCTAAGTCTGTTGAGGATCATATGTTGTGCTTAGTTGCATTCTTTCTTTTAATGTTCTTCAGTGTAGAATAGTTTTTTAGTATTTCCTTGTCTTTTAGGACCTTGACATTTTTGAAGAATACAGACCAGTTATTTTTTTTGGATAACCTTAAATTTGAATTTTCTATTTGTCCATGATGATTCAGGTTTTTCATTTTTACAAGAAATTACAGAAGTCATGTTGTATCTGTCTCCTTGTATTGTGTCAAGGAGGCACATGATGTTGAGTTGTCCTTTTCCAAGTGATGTTAACTTTAAACATTTGATTAAGGTATTATATTCCAGGTTTCTTCATTATAAAATCACTCCCTTCTCTTTGGTAATTAATAAATATTTGGTGAAGAAATACATTGAAGCTATATAAATAACCTGTTCTTCAACCAAGTTTACTTGTTTTAGTTCGTTGATGATTCTTACTAGAGATTATCTTTATTGTGATGACTGACAAATGATGATGTTTTCTAAGACATTAATTAAGTTGGCATATCTGCTGTAAGAACTTGTTTTACTCCTCCACTCTATCTATATAATCTATCTATCTATCTATCTATCTTACATCTTTTATATCAGTATGGACTCATGTATTCAATGTGTTATATGAACAGCTGGCATACTTTCTTTGCAAAGGGCCAGATAGTGTTTTAGGCTCAGGGAGCCATAAGGTCTCTGTTGCACATAGTCAGCTCTGACATTGTATTGCAGAAATAACCACAGACAGCATGTAAATGAATAGGTGTGGCTTGTTTTAGTGAAACTTACAGAAACAAGTGGCCTGATGGATTTAGTCCTAGGGCTGTGGTTTGTCTGTCTCCTGGGTTGTATCATTATTTTGATGCTCAAGATTTGGCCAGTAGGACCCTTCACATGGATTATGGGACAAATGCCCATAAGTTTTAATACTTTCTTACTTTCTGTAACAAGATGTTTCTGACTTATCCTACACTTTGCTTATCCCAGCCCTGAAATTAGCCATTTTTCCAAGAAGCCCTGCTTTGCTTGGTGGATACGAATTTTAGGAACCAAGATCTGGATGTGAGGTGTGCTTCTTGGTTTTTGAATGTCATTGCTTCTACATACTCTTAGTGGACAGATCTAGGAAATGATGTTTCTATCTATGTATATAAGTACATCTCAACTGATTTATCTGTATTAAAACCATGAGTTCACAGCAGTACCTTCAATTCCAGTCCAAAGCCACATGGCTCAGCCTAGCCTCAAACTTTTTAAATTTGCAGCTTCTTCTTCAATAGTGAGAAATCTTGCTTCTATTGTCTTTAATATATTTATATATTTTCTTATTCTACTTTGTAAAACCAGTGTTTTGATACATACGCCATAACCTTCTCAACTTTAACATTGCTAGTCATCTGTAACCATACCCTCAGATTTAACTCTGTATGGCCCTTGTTGTCTCCTCAGCCCCAGTTGTTTCTTTGGCACTGGCCACCCTCCTGACCTCTACTGTCTCCTTGGCCTGACCCTGGAAGTCCTTCCAGACTCACTTGCCTCTTTGGCTCTGTAAGACCCTGGGGATCACCAGAGCCTCTGCTCCCTCCATAGAACCCTTGCCCCTGAGGCCTCACTGGCTGTAGCTACATCAAAGAGAGGGAAAGGAAGAGAACCAGTACATATATTTTAAATGAAAATGACAGGAAAGTGGAATGAGCATTTATTTTTCTTTGTCATTTAAATTATTATTTTACTTTAACATTTTAATACTTTGAAATTAATTTTTTTTATATAGCAGAACGTAAGTTTCTGACTTGAAGTGTGTAGTTTTCTAAATGACAGCATTTTTCAATACCATTTTAAACAAATGCTTTCTTTTAAGGACACTCTAAAGATAATTTGCACGACACTAGCTTTCGTAGAACTGTTCATGTGTAGGCACTCACTTTGAGAAGTAGGATATTTTTGCTTTGACTATGACTTAACACTTTTGTCTCTTAAATTATGATTTATATAGTTAACTGTAGAAGCATTGAGATATATTAAAAATATTATAGGACAGGTAATATGTATTTATGGTAGCAAGTAGCAAGTGAAATAATACAAAGGTTTATAAATAAAATGTTACTATTCTCCCAGGTAGCCAATGTTACCCGTCTTGTATATCTTTTTACTGCCTTTTCTCTGCTCATACAAACATGAGCTTACTCATGCACACACATAGGTGTTTCAAAGCTTTATTTTGAATATATCATGAACACAAAGTGGTATAATTACATATATCAATGTAATATGTAAACATGTTATAAATATAAATATAAAATGAACCTCACTTAAACATCACTAAGCTTAAGGAACAGAACATTCCCAATGAGCCTGAATATTCTCATGTGTGATCACATCTCTTTTCTGTTCCCTGTCATAGAAATAACCCCATCCCAAATTTTACATTATTTCTTTTCTTTACTTGGGTGCTTATTATTTTTTTACTATGCTTTGCTCTTTTACTATTTATGTATGTATTACTAATTTATTGTTTAGCTTCTGTATGTTACATAAATAGTGTTATTTGGGGATTTGTTTTTTCATTCAATTTTATATTTGTTAGATATATCGGTTTGTATTTTATTTTGTAGAAATGGATTTATATCAAGCACAAAGCACACAAATATGTATATATTTCTTTGCAGCATGCTGTTTGTATTGTGCAGTATACAATAAAAGTGATTATTGCTAACATTTGAGTGCTTATGATTAAAATGGGCCTGGTACTAGTCTAATTCCTTTACGTATGTTGATCCATTTGATCCTCACAAGACGTCCTATGACAAGCAGTATTATTATTCTTACCCTAACAATAAAGAAGAAAACAAACCTAAGGCACAAAGATGTTATAAAACTGGTCCAGTTTTATTAATTGGTAGCAGAAATAGAAGTAAGAATAAGGAAATTATTACTAAGGCAGTATCTGTGTGTTTTTGGATGGAATGGGGATGTGATCAGGAAAAGGAATGTGCCACAGAGCTGAGGTCTGGAGCATGGTGAGGGCTTTGGCACACAGGGCAGGATGGGGCCACAATCAGTTGTTAGATATTCAGGAATTTTATGAGCTGTTTTTTAAACTGTTGGTATCTTGAACTTGAAATCAGATTATTATTAATATGATAGAAATCAGAAATACATAAATGCTCAAAATCAGGGCCTCATCCCTCCACTCTGCAGATGATTCCTTTACCAGCATACCAATGGTTGATGGGTTTCCCTGTCAGGCTACTGTCAGTGTTCAATTTATTGACCAAAGAAGTATTTATACAGGTGTTCATTTAATGATAATTCATCAAGTTGTTCATGTATGTTTTCTGTATATTGGCAATATTTTACAATGAAAAGTTTTTTAAAGTAATACCAGTGTCAATAGGAGGAGAAGAGTACTTTGTGCATCTTGGTGGCAGTGGGGCAATAAAAGGTGGAGAGCAGTCTGGGAAATAGGGAAGATATTTCTTTTATTATAATAGGCGGGATGGATTTTTGGATAATAACTTGCTTGCAGATATAATAATCTTCATGTAAATATTAAGTGAATAAGCAGATGCTATAAATTATACATGAAGGGATTATGCTTTTAAAACTTGTCAAGCAGTAGATAAATCCTGGTTGCTACAAGAAAGGCTTAATGTTAAAGGATTTTTATGAATCCAGCTTCATTTTTTAAAAGTATTCTTTATTGTATATTATGCATATTACATATATTTTCATTTTTAAAAATAATTAGATATTTTGAAATTACTTTAAAATTTGTACATTATGATAGAACTGTTATGCACATTTTAATATTTTATGCTCATTTTCACTTATTGACACAGCATTTATTAAATGCCCTCAATAATATGTATTCTATGTATACAAGTGACATAGAAGCAATCTGCTAAAAAGCAGATAATTACAATAAAACAGAGTGTCATTTTTTCTGTGCTTTGTTAAATAATGTGTGGGGTGAAAATGGAGAGAGTCCTTAAATGAAGACAAATTTAATTGAGAATGGAAGACATATTGGAAAACCTATTAATGTAATAAAAACAAGAAAGTATTAAAGTATTAATATAAATAGTTGGGGATTATACATTTATAAATGGATATTAATATATTACAACTTTTTAAAAAGTTCTTTTTTCCACAAAATCAGACATTCAGTAAATAATTTGAAGTTGCCAAAAATTTGAAAGCTAATTTTTGGATACTCATATATTATTAAAATTGTATAACATTAATATAAATGTTGTAATTTAAATACATATAATTGTTCAAGAATGCCATAGTATCCCAACATAATTGCATTTAGCTTATTTAATATCTTGTATTTTTTATTTTTACTTTTCTTTTCTGTTTTGTTCTAGATGGTCCCCGGCCATCACAAAAAGAAATTATATCACTGAGGGCATTTATGCTACTTTTTCTGAAACAGCTCATATTGAAGGTAAAATAATTTTATATAATTTAGAATTACAGTATATTAGGTAGAAAGGAATTTCTGGCATGCTTTAAAATTATTATTGTTAAATTAGTAATAGCTACCTTTAAGTGATGAATTGCTTTCAAAATTCTGCACCTCTTAATATTAACTCTTATTGAACTTAACTAACTTCTGGTTAAATGCTCTCTGAAATCTTCTCTATTAAGGGATGTGGCAGAAATGGACAAGGAACATATGAATAAGAATTGAGCCCTTATTCTTATAATAATTGACCCTTATTCTAGAAAATGATCTGTGTGCCAGTTTAAGAAGGCTTACATAATGCATTTTATTGTAGTAGGATGTTTTAAATGTTAAGAGGAAACCAAAGTGAAAATAAAAATAAATTGTGAGATAGTACCCAAAAATTGATACTGTATAGTCTTGCATTTATATTGTTTTAAGGAAAGAGTAAGTGATTAGAAAATAGTCATAAGAATACTTAGATGGTCAAAATATGCTAACTTTTTATAGTGAATGTCAATCAAATATTAATGACTTAAAAATTGATATGTTTCTAAATATTTACTTATTTAACTTGAAATAATATAGTCTATAAATTGTGAAATGTGCGGGGATTTTAGTTAAAATATCACTATATTAAACTTACTCTTATTTTCTTTTAAAATGATTATTTTGACATCTTTTTTAAATTAAAATTTTAATTTTAGATGTAAAGTAATAAAATATTTTTTAAAAATTAGGATCGAGGGGTCAAGGAAGATGAACTTCAGAGTATATTAAATTACCTACTTACGATGCATGAGGTAGGACATGTTATGGGCCTTTTATTTTAATTATTTAAGCCAATCTTTAGAGTAAAATTTTAAATCAATTTTGTTGATTTATGCAGGATGAAAATATTCATGATGTGCTACAGTTACTAGTGGCTTTAATGTCAGAACACCCAGCGTCAATGATACCAGCATTTGATCAAAGAAATGGAATAAGGTATGATATTACTATTAGACTTTAATGGAGCACAGTTGTTCCTCCTAGAATAACTCCTATGAATATTTGAATAAATATTGCAAAATCTTACACATAAGAGAAGAAATGGAGAATGCTGCTATTGATCCTCGAATACTCAGGAAACTGATGAAGTGTATAAACAGTAGTCTCAGGAATCAAGAAGAGTAATTAAATTGTTTTTGCTATAGTAAGGATATTACAAGTTGTGAATAGAGCTTTTTTTTTTTTTTTTTTCCAAGAAGACACGAAAAAGCAAGGCACGTTTTACCAAAAGAGGATACAATGAAATTTTATGATATAAGGCCTGAGAGAGATTATAGCCATATTTGGAAGGTTCATAGAATGGTAATAACCTCAGTGGTTTTTTTGTTTTTTTTTTTTTTCAGTTGGTGATGAAAAAGAATTTTGAATAGGGGAAATGTTGTACTCAGATTCCTATTTTGTTAGATTTACAATCACCACTGTGAAACATGAGTTGAAGGACAAACTGACGTAGCAATGTCAGCAGGGAGATTATTTTATTCATCTGTATTAAAGATGATGAAGATGACGACCTGAGACAGTGGCAGTGCAATGCAATGGAAATAACAGAGATGAAAGATGTTTTGGAATAAGAGGCCAAGGCCAAAAGAAATTGAAAACCAACTTTTGTTGTGGCAGTTGAAAAGTAACTTGGTAGATAGGTGAAATCCAATTTCTTAATTAGTATTTTTGTGAACTTAACCCTATAATTTAGCTTCTTAAGGAATTCTTCTGTTTTATTTTTCTGGAGTTTTAATTAGTGGGATGAGCAGGATATCAAGGTTATATCATGTATAACGCAATGAATTTCCACAGATTTATTGTGAAAAAGAGTTTAAAAAACAGTTTGGAAATAATATATCAGTGACTGTCAAGGGCTTTTTTAAGTGCTTTTTTTTTTCACTTGGCCATTTATATCAATGAATAACAACTTTCTAGACTTGAAGAACTCCTTTTCAAATTAGAGAAGCAATCACTATTTCTGTATGCATATCTCACTTGTGATATCCCTATTACTTTGAGTTTATAATTCATGGGGCTGCCAATCTATTTGAAGAAGATTATACATTTAGTGATTAACAACTGTTATAATTTTTTACTCTTGTTATAATTTTTTACTGTTGATATTTAACTGATTTTACCAAATAATGGCAATTTCATATAGTTCGATCTAATAATATAGTACAGTTACACTCATTTCTGAACTTATGTTTAGATTGAATAGTGTCCTTGTCCTTAGATTTTGCTTTATTTATTATATTATCTAATAGATTTAGTGAATCAGTTGAAGATATCCACATTACTCTTATGGAAGATACCAAACTTAGATTGTCTAATATGATGAAATGCAGAAATATAATTCTATTATTTTGACACATCAGAAATATGATTCTACAATTGAGAGTACTATTTGGTAAGATCTTTAGGATTTACATAGTATTTTAAATGTATGGTACGAAAGAACTGATTAAGCACAACAGATTAAAAGGCCTTGTGCTCATGGCTGACCATGAGCAGAGCATGTCAGATTGTCACCAGTGTGTTAAAAACAATCACACAGATTAAAAAACGGCCTTTCCTTGACATTTCAACTTTTCTACTTCAAAAATACGGAGAAAACTGGTTCAGAATAATATAAAAGATGAAAAAAATAGGGTTATTAGATAGAAAATATTGAAAATGACTGAAGCATTTAAATGTCTGTATTCTAGAAAATAGCCATTAAAGGCTAACAGTTGTATATGACGTATTTTGGGAGGAAAATTCCGGTCTGTTGTAATTCATACAATTGAGTTCAGTATAATAGTTGAACAAAAAGAATGTACTCAGTTTAATTCTGATGGCATGCTAATTGGGCTTAAGGAAGCCCTTGTGGTAACAGACCACTGAACTAAGCAGCCAAAAAATTGGTATTTTTGTTTTTAGAAATTTTCAAAGAAAGGAATAGACAACTACGTGTCTTATATAGCTTAGACCATTTGCTGGCTGAATATAGTGAGCTTAAGCAGGTGAATTAGGATTATTGTTAATTAGTAATAATGTATATTACAAGTAAACATTCATTAACAAAGTAAATTTCTTATTCATACTGTATCACATCCCTATGTAAGTGGATGTGTGATGGCCCTAGACATTTTCATGTTTCAACATTAATCATAATTTCTCTTGATCCAGGGTAGGGTCTGATACCTTTTTTTCCTGCTACTCAAAGTTATTCCTAGAAAGTAGAACTTCTACTTCTGTATTTGAGTGTAGCCACATTTTTAGACTGTGAGGGTTTTTTTGTTTTTTTGTTTTTTTGTTTGACAGAGTCTCGCTCTGTTGTCTACACTGGAGTGCAGTGGCACCATCTCGGCTCACGGCAACCTCCACCTCCTGGGTTCAAGCAGTTCTCATGCCTTAGCCTCCCAAGTAGCTGGCATGACAGGCATGTGCCACCACACCCGACTAATTTTTTTTGTATTTTAGTAGAGATAGGATTTCACCGTGTTGCCTAGGCTGCTCTTGAACTTCTGCGCTCAGGCAATCTGCCCACCTTGGCCTCCTAAAGTGTTAGGATTACAGGCGTGAGCCACCATGCCTGGCCCAGACTGTGAGCTTTTACTCTGGTTCTCAAGACTATTTTTGCTGTTTAATGTTGTATCTTATGATTTCTTGAATGTATTTTTTTTGACATGTCTGACTTTGCTATTCTCAAACTTGTCTTTTTTCATTACTGATCTTGGTTCCTAAAAGTTTTGAAAATGGATTTCAGTGTTAACCCATACATATTTATGAATGTGGGATTTGAAAAAAAAGATGTTCCAAAGGAAATGATCACTTTTCTCATAGTTTATTCTTTAATAGTTTATTCTTTAAATAATCACTTATTCTCATAGTTTATTCTTTTCTCATAGTTTATTCTCATAGTTTATTCTTTAACTATTATTCTCTAATAGTTTATTCTCTAAAAAAGAGAAAAAGAAGCAGTATCACTAACTTCTTTTTTAATAGGATAAGCTCTTCACAGAACTAAAAATAATGAGATTAACTTTAAGCTATTTGTTCTCCTTTGTAAGTATCACTGAAATTGTGAAAATTATATTGCATCTTTTACTAGATTCTCTGGTTCAGCTGAGTACCTGAAAATATACCATGGCATTTTATTTTTTAAGAAACAAATTTAATAAAATAAAGCACACTATAGTGTTTTAGCACCTAAAGAACCTTCTCATATTCTAGAATTAGTTGCCAGTGTATATAGTTGTCATTGTCCCTTCTACTTTATGGAAACAAATTGCTTTTTTTAATAGAAAAAATATGGAATAAAATGTCTAAACACTTACAAATATTATAATGAATATGGCCCTACTTGTATATAGTACTTGACGTGATTGTATAGGTTAGTTTGTATATTAGTGGAGGCTGTTTTGCTCCAAGTAAGAGAAAACCTCTCAAGCTTTTAAATTAAAAACTGAATAATATATTTGTTAAAAAAAAATCTTAGAGTAGGAACCAGGAATCGGAGGGCTCTTAGGAAGCAAGTTTGCTTTCTCTGCTGCTTTCTGTAAGCTGTTTAATCCTTCCTTCTATATGTTGACTAGCCTTTCTGAACAGAAACAAAACATTACTGTTCTAGTTTCTGTTTTAAACAGTTGTCAAATTCAAGAGCCCAGCAAAGAGGAGATATTGTTTCTTAGACCTCATTCCAAATTCTCAAAAAGGAGAAATAACTAGGCAGGTGCCTACCTGTCATCTAATTAGTCATACCAAGAAAACAGGGTTAGGGTGCAGTGGCTCATGCCTGTAATTCCAGCACTTTGGGAGGCCGAGGTAGTCGGATCGTTTGAACACAGGAGTTCCAGACTAGCCTGGGCAATATGGCAAAACCTCACCTCTATACTAAAATTAAGAAAAAACATTTTAAAAAAGAAAGAAAATAGGGTTATCAAGTTTAAATGTTGGGGCCAATTCTTAGAGAGAAGAGATGTGGCCTAACTAAGCATGTGTCTTAAAACTGAAAATTGTGTGTAGTATGTTGGGAGGCAATACTTATGAACACCAGTCACATTGCCCTTTTGAGTGTGTGGTTGAAGGACATGTTTAAAGAAAAATGATTAAAGCATGCTAGTTTTTAATTTTTCCAAAGAATTATAATCCTGAAAATAAAATCTTCAAAGAAATTTTATATTTCACATATGTATAATTTATTTGTAAAGTATATAGTGTGTTTTTGTTTTTAATATTAGTAAGTTTTTAAAAGATAATTTATGTATTTTTTAGGGTGATCTACAAATTACTGGCTTCTAAAAGTGAAAGTATTTGGGTTCAAGCTTTGAAGGTTCTGGGATACTTTCTGAAGCATTTAGGTCACAAGTAAGTTGATATTTGTCGTAATGCATTCTAGAAATAACTATTAAGATTATGTTTTTATGAGTTTTATATGTAATGTGAGATGAAATTTGACTTGAATAATGTAACAGTAGAAAATAATAGCTTTCTGTGATAGAAGTTGCAAAAAATTTTTATAAAATATATTTTATTAATAGTAGATTATGGAACAAGATTACAATTGAAGTAATATAGTTCTTTTCTACATTCTTCCTAAAAAGAAAGTATTATCTATTCTGAAGAGGTAATAAAATATTTTGTCAAGACAAAACGATGCACATATAGGTATGATTTCAAGGAAAGCTTTCTTGACAAGGAAATACCATGTATATGTTGAGGTCTTTCTGAGAATTGATCTTATGCTTACCTACTGAGTCAGTCTTTGTTATTAGTTTCTAACAGTAGGGTTTATTGATTAATTCTGTGACTTACAGATGCTAGAATACCTCATATCTTTTCCCAAATCCAGAATTTGAATACTTTCTAAGAATACTTTTGGTGTAAGAAACTACTGCTGGCTTAATGGTTGCAATTCATACTACACTATCCAGTGTGTGAATATAGTTTTCAGAGTATATTTTCCTTACAAATGAAGCCAAGGAAGTAGTGCAACTTTAATTTAAATGCTACTAGATGAGGTTCCTATCAGAACTTCATTGTTATCCTTTTTTTTTTTTTTTTTGATGCTTACTTAAACTTGCAGAGCGCTTATTTGTAATAATCATGAAAACTGCACAAAATTCAGATAAGGCATGTCTAACAAGCTGTATAGCCTAGAAGTTTAAATATTTTTAAAATTTCGGTTCCAAACAATAATTAAGTAAGGGAGACTAGATATGCTATGAATATAAGGAATAGTTCAAACAAGGCCAGGATTGTAGAAAAGGATACACACACACACACACACACATACACACACACACATATACATACACACATACATGGAACTGTAAGTACACTTGGTGACAGAATACTGGGAGTGAAGAACCATATGCTCTTTTTTTTATTTTTTATTTTTTATTATTATACTTTGAGTTCTAGGGTACATGTGCATAATGTGCAGGTTTGTTACATATGTATCCATATGCTCTTTTTATATTAAGAGATAAAGATCGCTTATTTAACTTCAGTTAAATTAAAATAAATTGACTGGACAAAGTTAAAGGATTGTAGCCCAAGATGCAGCCTCCTAAAAATGTCAAGAAAACACATTAAAAAATTTATAAAAAGATGAAAACTCATTATCAAATTAAAAATACCAAACAGACAATTTCCTGTATAAACATGGTGTTTAAGATGCCCTATTTTCCCCTCTTTTCCTGTAAAATATATAAATGATACAACAAGAAGTAAAAAATGTACTCTCTATCACAAATATTATCACAAGTACAAGACAGATGCAAATATATGAACCCCAGAATATGGGTATCAGCTGCTTAAAGTTGCTAAGGTTGGGTAAAAGCTGTTAAGGCTAAAGAGAAAATATGTGAAGTGTGGTGAGAGAGTTCAGTTATAGCAAATAGGAAGTGTCAGTGAAAGTACAGTTTCTGAAGATGAGAGGCACACCTTAAATTACAAAAATAGATCATTTGTTTGAAATAATAGATATACATATATCGTGCCTGATAGCAGAGTTTTTTTTTTAATCAGATTGGTTTCAGAAAAGGAGAAGATATATCACAAAGAATTACACAGATGAGCTATATTTGTGGCAAGCAGTCTGTCTCTGTAGCTATAGAGAAAGGGAAAGTTTTTGGATTGTGAAAGCAAAAAGATTACCCTTGTCCCTTCTTTTACACATGTTCATGGAAGTGTGCTGCAGACGGATGGTCCAGGTAAATTAGACTGTATCAAAAGAATTGGCACATCATCAGTGCATGTGTATCAGATAAAAAACATGGAAAAAATAAAGTAATCAGTACATGAATAGCACTTAGCAGAAAAATACTGCTATGGAATATAAAGCATTTTGATTTAAAAATTTGCTATCATAAGTTAAAAATAAATAAATAAATAAATACATACATACGTAGCTTTTGAGAAAGAACCACTAAATAGAATTTGGAGAAGTAATCCAGCTACTCAGGAGGCTTACGCAGGAGGATTGCTTGAGCCCAGGAGTTTGAGTCCAGCCTAGGCAATGGAGCAAGATCCCCTTCTGGAAAAAAAAAAGTTGTAAGAAATGTTAACATAGTGATATGGTTTGGTTGTGTCCCCCCACCTAAAATCTCATCTTGAATTGTAATCCCCATGTGTGAAGGGTGGGACCAGGTGGACATAATTGGATCACGGGGGCAGTTCCCCCCTGCTGTTCTTGTAATAGTGAGTCACATGAGATCTGATGGTTTTGTAAGCATTTGGCATTTCCCCTGCTTTCCCTCACTCCATCTTGCTGCCCTGTGAAGAAGGTGCCTGCTTCTCCTTGCCTTCCACCATGATTGTTAAGTTTCCTGAGGCCTCCCCAGCAATGCAGAACTGTGAGTCAATTAAACCTCTTTCCTTTATAAATTAGCCAATCTTGGGTATTTCTTCATAGCAGTGTGAGAACAGATTAGCACAGATAGCATGGAAGTATTTAATTATGAGCTAATAAAACATTGGACAAATACTGGAGGAAAAGAACTACACACAAAAAAATAAAACTGGAAATTGCTCAAAGGCAAAACTCTGGCTAGTAACATAGTGAAGTACACAGAAGATAAAACTAAAAAAAAGCAAATAATATGAATAGATGAAAACGTGAGTTTAGGATTAGAAAGAAAATGAGCAACATGGGAGAAAAACAAATTACCATAATGGCATAAATCGGCCGGACGCGGTGGCTCACGCTTGTAATCCCAGCACTTTGGGAGGCCGAGGTGGGCAGATCAATGAGGTCAGCAGTTTGAGACCAGCCTGGCCAACATGGTGAAACCCCATCTCTACTAAAAATACGAAAATTAGCCGGGCATGGTGGTGGGCGCCTGTCATCCCAGCTACTCGGGAGGCTGAGACAGAAGAATCGCTTGAACCTAGGAGGCAGAGGTTGCAGTGAGCTGAGACTGTGCTATTGCATTCCAGAGCCTGGGCAGCAGAGCGAGACTCCGTCTCAGAAATAATAATAATAATAATAATAATAATAGCATAAATAGAGTTCCCAAATAAGAAAAGCAGAACAGTGGAACAAAACGAATATTTAAATCTATAATTCAATGAAGTCTTGATGTAAGATTTTGCCTTTCTTATTTAGAGGACATATGTGTGCCAGGGAAAACTGACCTAGAATGGTTAGCATCAAGGTGTGTTACTGGACTTAAATATAAGAATACTTTGTATATTAGTGCACAAATAAAGAGAAAAATGAGTCTGGCTTTAGACTCTAAAATAACCTTCAACACAAAAATCTATAACAATCATAAGATACTTAAATGAAGAAAGTGGGAACCAAACTATCCTTTAAGTAACAAAAATGCTGTCAAACATTTTTAAGCCATACAGCAAATTATTTCTGTGACTAAATTTTGAGGAAATTGCTGGGGATAAAGTCCAACCAACGAGGAATGACTGGAGAAACTATTGCTAAGGACAGCTGGTGAGCACTGAATAAATTTATGCTAATATATAAAAAGTAAATTCTGATCTATCACAGTAATACCTACATTTATTTTAGTCTTAGTTTTATGGTTAAAATGAATTGGGAGGGGTAAGAGAAGAAAGAAGGCAGAGCAAGTGCAAAGAGTCAGAATTTCCATTTAAGTGGACAGATGAAATATTACAAATGTAGGCCTACTGACTAAAATTGATGATGTAGATGAAAGGAAAAAATTAAGAGCAAATATGCTGACATTTACATTTCTCATAGTAGGGAAATACCCTTTTTAAACAGATGTGGGATGACTTATTCTTTCATAAAGAGATAAGCAGTTCTATAAAATTATAGAGCTTTCAAAATATTTAAGATCTGTATGGATAGACCTAAGAACAATATATGTAATGGAACTTTAAAAAATCTGTAAAGATCAGTAAGCATAACATAAAATATGACATATCTAAGACCAGTCATAATGTCATAAAAAATAAATGTAAAAGCTTTTATACATCACCTGTTGTAAGAAAAATATCACAATTGATCACAGTAATAAAACCCAGTTCTATACGCAAGAAACACACCAGAAAACCAAAGTAGTTTTGAAAGGTTAAAAGTAAAAGGATGAGTAAAGATTTATCATATAAGCGCAAGGAAAGCAGAAAGTAGAAATCATCATCTTAATATTGGACAAATTAGAATACAAGCCAAAAAGCAATAACCATTAGATAAAAAAGAATTATTTACGATGATAAAATAGACACATTCATAAAATAGAAATTACAGGAGAAACAGACAAAGTTTAAAACTTTAAAACAAACTTTAATTCACCTATTTCAGTCCACAAAAAGCCAAAAAGTATCTGGAATGGCGGGATAAATCTTCTCATCCTTAAACTTGTGGGGTGATGTATAGGAAGATTGGAGTGCTATCATACTGGTTCCAGGGGCTCATGGTGCAGAACTTACAGCTTGCTAAGTTTTATACTACAAGTCAGTAAGTTTAGAGGGTGCTTTGCCTGACACTGCCTGCAGCGATCTCATCATTTAAAATACACAGCCACGAGATTTGACCTTGACTCTGTGGATAGTGAAAAATAGCAACTCATCTAAAGGGGCGTACTAGCCAGAGGCAGGATAAGAGAATCATCAAACTATGTACCCGGTGAAGTAGAACTTTGGTGGAGGCTGTTGTGGAACATTTGAATTTCATTTATACAAAGAGCTTTTGAGATTCAAATGGAGCACCAAAGATAATTTTCTGCTCTTTTAGCTGATGATTTTTTAACCAGTTCACCCTAATTAGTGGACTTGAAGATCTCAAAGCATGGATGAAAAATAAAGAGTGAGAGAAAAGATAAAGCCTTGGAAAGTAAGAGACTTCACATATGACTATTAAGAGTTCTTAGAAAACTGATGGA